TGGTCTGCATGTACATCTTGTTTACTAATGGACTGAGAGCCAGCCCCTGGGAGTGAGATTTATTCCAAGCCCAGAATGTATCCCAGGCCATGGTATTGGGGGTCTCACCAGACTCAGCCAACCAGTAATTCTGGTCATTATTGAGTTTTTGGATTTGTTCCACATTTTTCCTCCACTGTATCTAGGATCTCCAGATTTGATCCTTTCCTGAGTGACTGGCATTGGTAGCCAGGCACCATCTAGTTCTTCTGGTTTTGAGAGCCATCATATCCTAAGGCTGATTGCTTCCAAATGCCCTTTTTTTTGCACTCTTCTTCATTTCTGACACTAGGAGATCATTAACTGCATCTTAGATGGCCACTTGAATGCTTTTAAGACCCCAGTCGCTACTCACCAATGTAGGATGAGGAACAAGGCTATTTTTTTGTTGTGCCAATTGAGTCTGGTGTCCCCCAGTACCCAGTACTATGGTCCTGAGATGGTAGATCTACTGGGTCACCCACAGTGTCTGGGTGTCTATGAGGGATTACTCTATGTCTGTCTTCCATTGTTTCTGTAAGGATTGCAGGTATTTTGTATCACTGGTATCTGTGCAAGATTAACCTCCACTGAGTCTATCTTTGATCTAGAGTGTACTTGTGTTCACTGACCCCCATCTGATCCTCTCAGGTGTTTTTCTGTAGCCTGGTGTTTGGTGTTAATGGTAATGCAGTATTGTGGACACACTGGTTGGTATTAACATCTGTCATCTATCTCCTATGTGCACAATTCAGTGTTCTCCCTTTTCCTAATGTTATCATGGTGGTCACAGACTCTTTCCATACATCCTTCCCCTTACCCACATCAGTGTGTGGGCCCCAAGTAGCCCAAAATTAATCCCTCTCCTTCCCTCCCCACCCCGGTAACCTACAAAGCGAGTTCCCTTTCCCAAGCAAACCCTTCTTTGTCTTTTCAAAGTAATGGGCTCATATAGTACTTATCCTTCTGTGATTGACTTATTTCACTTAGCATAATGTCCTCCAGGCTCATCCATGTTGTGACATGATTCACGTATCCTTCATTGTTCTTTAATGTAGCATAGTATGCCATTGTGTGAATGTACCATAATTTGGTTATTCGCTCATCCATTGATGGGCATTTAGGTTGTTTCCATCTCTTTTTTATAGTGAATTGTGATGCAATGAACATAGGTGTGCATATGTCTGCTCGTGCACTGCCTTTCACCTCTTTAGGATATATTCCTAGTAATGGAATTGCTGGGTCAAATGGTATTTCTATTTTCAGTTTTTTAAGGAAACACCATACCGTATGCCACAATGGTTTTACAATCCCACTAACAGTGCACAAGAGTTCCAATCTCTCCACAACCTCACCAGCATTTGTTATTTTCTATCCTGTTGAACTTTGGTATTATTGCTGGGGTGAGATGATATCTCATTGTTGTTTTGATTTGCATCTCTCTAATGACTAATGATCATGAGCAATTCCTCATGTTTTTGTTGGCCGTCAGCATATTGTCTTTGGTGAAGTGTCTGTTCAAGTCTTTTGCCCATTTATGAATTGGTTTGTTTGTCTTTTTGGTGTTGAGGTGTTGAAGTTTTCTATAGATCTTGGAGATAAGTCCTTTATCAGTTATGCCATAGGCAAATATTTTCTCCCAATCTGTAAGTTCTCTTTTTATCCTTTTGACAAAGTCTTTTGATGCACATAAGAATTTAATTTTTAAAAGGTCCCAGTCATCTAGCTTCTCTTTTACCTCTTGTGCATTCTGGGTTATGCTTGATAGTCTATTTATGCCATGAATTAGGACTCACAGATTTGTCCCAATTTTATCTTTGATGAGTTTTATGGTTTTGGGTTTTACATGTAAGTCTTTGATCCAGTTTGAGTTTGTTTTTATGTATAGGATGAGGTATGGACCTTGTTTCATTTTTCTGCAAGTGGATCTTTTTGATGATTAATGAGACAATTCCTCTTCAGTTTTTCATTCTGACATATGATTGTCTGATTTAAAATGGCCAATATCAGTCCATTTTGGCTCACTAATGCCTAGGACATCACTCTTTATGTGTTCCATTTCATTTTTTACAACTTCCAATTTTCCTAAATTCATACTTTGTACATTCTACTTTCTGAATATTACTGAATCTTTGCCAATGTTTCTTCTCAGTTTGAGTAGTGCCCTATCAGCTAATGAAGGTCCAGAAACCTTTATTCCATCATGCCATTAAGTTCATCTCTACTTTGAAGATACAGCCCTTCCCCAGACCCATTTTGAGCACCTTCTAACCTGAGCAGCTCATCTTCTGGCACTGTATCACATAGTGTTTCACTACTATTCATTAGGTTTTCAGCGGCCAATATTTTCAGAACTGTATGGCCCCATCTTTCTTCCCAGTCTTAATCTGGAAGCTCTGCAGACACCTGTCCACCATGGGTGACCTTCTGGTACTTGAAATACCAGTAGCATAGCTTCCAGCCTCACAGCAACATGCCGGCCACCACTGTACTACAAACTGACAGATGAGTATGACCCCCATAGCAACTATTTTATTGTATTGTAATTACTTATTTATTCTATGAGTCCAGTCCTAAATTTAGTTCCTAGAAACCAATGATCAGACATATTTGTCTTGATATCTATTATAACATGATAAATCTATGACCGTTAGACCAATGCCTGGCACATATCAATTAATGTTTGTGGAACAGGAGCCCCACACCAGAACTACTGCACATTTTACATACTCTGGTGGCAAATTCTACTTACAAAAAGATTAACTGAAGTATAGAGAGATCGTTCATCCAAGATCAAATACTCAGTGTCTTAGTGTGAAATTCTGAGTTGAAAATTGCATAATAAAGTTAGTGGTGGAGCTTGCAAAAGGACCCAATGTTTGGAATTATCATATCAATGACTCTCCTGTCCAGATACTTACAGGAGGGCTGGATTATCAGATTTATTTACAGTGAGATTTGAAATATGAAAAATTTATATAGTGAAGAATTTTCAGTTAACTGATGTTTGCAGTTGATTTTTAGAAAATAGTCTATCATTTTTAGGAGGGTTACCTCTATTCCTATTTTACTTTTAAGGTTTTAAAATTAAGAATGACTGCTGAGCTTTATTAAATTCATTTTTGTCATTTGTTAATATGATGGGTTTTCTCCTTTTAGTTATTATGTAATAAGTTATATTGATTTATTTCCTGATAATGAACTATCCTTATGCTCATTCCTATAACACATTTTCTTGGTCAGGGACATTATTCTTCTTATACTAATGTCTTACATTTCCTAACATTTCATTTACATGTTTTAGAATTATTTTAATATGATTAATGAGTGTATCTATTGTTCACAAGTAAATATTGAGCCATATAACTTTGTTTATGTTTTAGAAATTATTTTAAATAGGCAGTGAACCAAATTTCCCATAATTTAGGTAACTTTGGAAGCTCTAGCTATTCTACCAAGTTGGAAGTCATGATAGCTAACATTTAAAAAAGGGCTCATTTTTGCCAGTTACTCTTTTAAGCACTTTATATATATTAACTCATTTAAATCTCATGACATTCCTATGAAGTAGAAATTATTATTATCCCCATTTTGCTGCTGAGGAACTAAGAGAGAAAAATGACATGATAGCATAAATGGTAAATGGTACAATAAGGATTAGAATTCAGGAATTCTGTCTCCAGCACCTATATTCTTCACCATCATGCTATGTTGCAGGGAAAAACATAAATCCCAGGAATTATTTGTTGAAATACAAAATCTGACACAATCATTGTTAATAACTTATGACTATTTAACATAGTAAAATTTGTAGAAGAAATACTATCACTTTATGCCTTCTGTTAGTACAATTATATAGATTGGAAAATAATGGTATTTAAGTGTAAAAAATTGAATTAAAAATATTGCTAAAATACATACAGTACTGTGTTGTCAGTGAAGGCAAGCTGGGTATATGGGTGGATAGATGTCTATGAAATGGGGAGTGTATCCAAGAACATATATAAGGTTGGCAGACAATGGTCCTATAAGTTTATGTGAGTGATCAGAATTCCCAGGTGTATAGTAGAATTGACAAGGGGAAGGTTGTGGTCACTGCTTGGTCACAGCCAGCTACCCAGAGGGACCAAGTAGTTGAACCTGCGGGCTTGGGACCATAGTCGCAGGGGACATCAAGCTCAATTGGCATAACATACTATATAAAACATTGTTCCACCTGCTACTTTGGCGAGTAGCGACTGGGATCTTAAAAGCTAGCAAGCTGCCATCTAGATGCAATGATGGGTCTCTCCTTGTCCAGAGCAAAGAAGAATGAAAAAAACCAAAATTAATGGAAACAATCAGTCCTAGCGACTGGTACACCATCCAATCTGCAGCCTATACAACTTTGAGACCAGAAGTACTAGATGGTGCCAGGCTACCACTGACATCCACTTGGAAGGGGATCTATGTAGTAGATCCTTGATAGAGAGGGAGAACAATGTGGAACAAAACTCAAAATCATTTGGAGAAAAAAAATAAAAGGTGGGGACGAGGTTTACTGGTCCAATAGAGCCTGGTGGAACCACTAAGGCTATGGCCCCTAGCTGCCCTTCAGGTCTGGAATTGAACTCACACCTGTGGTTTCCAGCCAAACAGAAGACAGGAATATGAGTTGAACATTTACTTGAGGTAGATACACTCCTTGGAGAGAGCAATCATTGAGAAAGAAGGGCTGCCTATGCACAGGGAGACAGCTTAGGGGGCAGGAGTCCATGGAGGGATAGACACTGGGAAGAGGTAACTATGGGGAGGAAGTGGGAGGGGAGCTGTTGCATTGTGGTAAACTGTGGTCAATGTCATGAGACAAAGTATATGTAAACTGCTGTATGAAAAGTGAATTTGCTCTGTAAATCTTCACCCAAATCACAATAATAATAAAAATAATTAATTAATTAAAAAAATATTGCTAAAATAATAATACTTTTCCCTTATCTTTTCAGCAATCTTGACACAGAAGAACTATGTGGTAAGTTTCTTTAAGACTGAATAAACCTATTACTTGTTTTAAAATGAAAAATATTATCTGATACATTCCTGCATACTTTGCAATGAATGTCATAGATTTGGAATTCTAGAATAACATAAAAGATAAATTGAGGTATCGGAAGATTTATCTTTGTCCATGAATTTTGCTCAAGCATCTGTTCCATTGCCTTATTGTAGAAAGAGTTGGGTCTCATTAATTTGTTCATGAGGGGAGAATTGTTCCTGAAATTGGTACATTAGTTTCACAAGAGCACATCCTCCACTAATTTGGATGTATTTTTAAATCGGTGTTTAATACAACTTTATTATTCTCTTCACAATATATCGTGCAGCGCCTTTTGTTACTGTTTGGCAAAGCTGTCTCCTTGAAAAGTAAAAATAGCTTTGTTCCATACCTGCCTACACCATTCTGGAGTTTTAAATGTCACTTGCAAAACATGTGTGATGAGAAAAGATAAATCACTATATCTTTTTTTGATGTGATAAGATAAATGTTTGATGACCCTGCATTTATTTTCTTCATCTTTATGGTTGGAATCAAAAGTAAAAGACTAGGAATAAGAGAAGGTAAATATTTCTGAAATGTATTTTTTGATATAAAAAAATATGGAGCATTATGAGACTGTTAAATTTGAAACAGCCTTATTTCTCTGAATACTAGATATATAGCAATAGATGGATAGCTCTCATCAAGTCGGCTCCAACTCATGGCAATCTAATGTACAGAAGAACAAAGCTTCGTCTGGTCCTGCATCATCCTCACGATTACTGACGTGTTTGAATCCACCACTGTGGCTATTGTGCCAGTCTGTCTCACTGAGGGTCCTCCTCACCCTTTTTGGCCCTCTGGTTCATCAAACATGATGTCTTCCTCTGGTAATTGATCCCTGCAGATGATATATCCAAAACAAGCAAGTCAGACAGTGTTCTGTTGTGATCTGTAAGGTTGTCATTGACTAATTTTCAAAGTATATCATGAGGCTTCTCTTCTTAGCTAGAAGCTCTGGTAAGACCTGTTCACTGTGGATGACCATATTGGTATTTGAAATACTGGTGACATAGCTTCCAACATCATAGCGATACCCAAGCCACCACAGTATAACAAACTGACAGACATGTGGTAGCTCTGAAGGTTTTAAGTTTTGTGTTTTAAAGTAAATGGATAGAGTATAAATAAATTTGACCTTATTGTCTAGGCTGCTTTAAATAATTCTGATGGGTAGAGGTGAATTTCTCTGAAACCTGCTAATTGAAGCCACAAAAACTCACTGAATCTCTTATAATTCTACAAATGTTTAACTTACCAAAACCATCAAAAAGGCCATTTTATAATATTCAAGTCTATTGGTCTTCTACTTTATCAGAATGGTAGAGCAACACCAAGAAATGTCATACAGGACAAAATATCTGAATACAGCATGTTAAGCCAATTATTCTGAGCAAAACTATTACAATCATCAACCATGAGCCTTCTAATTTTCCAGTGGTCATAAATATTCTATATTCCTCTTCCGATACAGGGTCCATCCCAGGCTTATGGAGAATCCTACTGAAAAATAAGATATTTTTATGCAGGAGCAAAGTGTTTTGGTATGAAAGCAATCCATGCTTTTGCTAGTTATGAAATATTAGTAGAGAATAACAGGGAAAATCTTAATGTGCTTTCACATACAAGCAGGCTACGGCATCATCCATGCCTGGATATTCAACTGTACTGAGAGGCTGAGGGATCCTGGTGGCACAGTGATTAAAGTTTTCAGCTCCTAAACAAAAGGGTGGGTTTTGAACCCACCAGCCACTCCACAGGAGAAAGATGTGGCAGTCTGCTTCCGTAAACATTTACAGCCTTGGAAAACCTATGGGGCTGTTGTATACTGTTATATAAAGTGCCAGGAGTCAGAATTGACTCAACAGAATATGGGTTTACGAGGCCAAAAGTGCCCATGTGGACCATGGTCACCGGGCTTTATGATGAACAGCAACCACCGTAACACTCAAGCCATGGCCCCCCTCACACTTCCATGGACAGACAGTCCCTACCAGTGAAGTGGAGGGGAAAAGTGGAGACTTGATAATTCTATGAGGGATAATTCCATTTGCCTCAAATATGTAGATATTTCAGTTCAATGTAATCTTTTTCTCAAATCACCCAGGTAATTATTTTTCTTCTCCACTGTAGTTTGCCTGGGTCAGTGTGGCTCATGGGAAAGCAATCTGTTATAAGGGCTTTTAAGATCAAAACATTCAGGGGCTCTACTTTATTTGCTACTGTTACTAAAGAATGTTAAGGTCTCTGGGTGTCACAGCCGTTTGTGATCAGCTGTCAGCATTGCCGAAAAAAGGCCAGACAAACTGCTTCCATAATGGAAACCGTATGGAGTGGTTCTACCCTGTTAACACATGGCATGGCCATGAGTCAGAATTGACTCGATGGTTAGGGATTTTTGGTTCATTTGTTTCTGACATTAAGATATATTATATTATCCTTTATTCTTCCCTAAAAATACTTTAAATTTTTTCCACTGGATCTTAAAAATTGAATCTGTTTTTCCTATATAGTAAGGAAATGCTTTGGCTATGCCTTTTCCCCTATAGTTTTAGTTAGGGAACTAGTCTTTGGGACTGTAATTCCACAGACTTGCTCTATATTTTTCAATCCAGTGATTGTACTCTTAATCATGTACTATCATCCTCCCCCTCGCTATTCAAGAAGATGCATTTAATTTCTAGAAGATGTAGTTTCATTTCTCATTATTTTGTGAATATAAAGTAAATATTTAAGTTGGATTCTAATCAAAGCCAAATGCTTCAGTGCAGCAAGTGAAATATGTCAGTTCACACCCAACACACATTCTCTTTTGCTCATGGGAGGAGCAGACTTTGGTTGGCATGGAAAGCAGATTTCAGGATTGCATGTCTTCTCTGGCAGAAGCCAATAAAAAGTTTGAGGCATCTAAAAGTTTCATTCTATTGCTTTTATTGAGTTTGTTAGTTTGCTAAATTTTGGGCCTCAAACTCATAATTTCTTAAAATAAAATATTGAATTTTAAAAAGTATATAATTTTAATTATGAAAATAGTACATATCAGTTACTTTTAAAATGTAGCAATACAGAGTATGCTGATGTATAATGTAAAATGTCAGTCTCTCCCCCGATGCTAGTTTCCGTTGTTAACTACTTGGCACATATCCTTTCAGACATTTTAAGCATATATTGATACTGATATATTTGTGTATATATTGTCTTTTTCCAACAGTGAAATCATACCATAAGGAGGAACATGTTTCATATATGATTGCTGTTTTACCTTATTTTCTTAAAAAGGATGTACAGTTTACCATTTTACCTTAGTTCACTCAACCAAGTCCCTTTTAATGGACTTTTAGGTTGCTTCCAACTTGCCACTAGGACCAATAACATAGAAGTAAATAATCTTGTAGGTATTATCTTTGCACTCTTGTACAAATGTTTCTGTATGGTAGACTTTTAAAAGAGTAATGACTGGGTCAGAAGTTCTTCCATTCACCAGCATGTATAGGAGTGCCAAGACTATTCACTCTTTACATAGAATTGAACTACTTACTGCCATTGAGTCAATTCTGACTCATAGTGACCCCCTTTGGGTTTTTGAGGTGGTAAATCTTTATGGAAGTAGATTGCCCAGTCTTCATTCTGTGGAGTGGCTGGTGGATTTGAACCACCAGCCTCATACCTGACTCAATTTTCATTAATTAATTGTGTTTGAATTCTAGAACTGAATCTTTGGTTTGGTTTTGTGCCATCGTTAGCTCTGATCTAAAACCCATTGGAGCATAATTATTATTTTCCTGACCATAAACACTTTATAACTGATTTCATAACCTAACTCTTTTTGACTGAAACCTTTTGCAAATCTTGAACCTAGTAGCAAGTATTTTGCAATATTTATAGATGGGTGGACAGTAATTGCTCATGTAGCTAGGTGCTTGATCTGAAAGCATATCTAAGAAAGCTTTATAAGTAAGGTTAAATATATTTAATAGTCTAAATTCTAATCTCCTAAATTGTTGTCTACTAATATTGAACTATTTTAAAAGTTAAATAAAGTCCATAAGTAGGATTGACAAATACTTAGGGTACAGAAAACAACTAGAAAAGAAAGATTAGCTTTTTGCAAGATTTTTTTTAGTAGCTCGGCCCTGGGTACACCTGGTCAGACTACAGAGCTGCACCAGCTTGCACTGCCAGAACCTGGACAGTGCAGAGGGACAAATTGGGATACTAGAAAATCAGAAGACTCTCCCATCCTCTTCCAGGCCATTGGAACCATGGCTACCTGGCACATATCCTTGGCGATTGCATTGTAGGACAATTTCAGTGACATTGATACCTCCTCAAATAACCCATGTCCTTATATTCCCAACTGATGCCCCTATTTGGCATATGGATGGTCTAATTCTATTCTCTCTCTGTGACTTCCTCACCAATCTAGAACGTGCTTGGGAAATTCTAGCAGGTTACATACTGTGGGACTCACCTAAACTCAATAAAACATTTTGTGAGGCCAGCGGCCAGTGCAGTCTTTTTGGCAGCTATGAGTCCTCTGGTTCTAACCTGGAATTCTTGGACCAGACCTGAAAACAACTTGCAGGAGGATTAAGGTGTAGAATAGAAAAAAAAAAAAAAAAACTCTGTAGTGATGTAACAGCATTAATTAAGTGAAATAAAAAAGGAAGAACTTCTAACTTCTAGTTCTAACTTCTAGTTAGAACTTTGTTAGAGAGGTTGGTGCATTGACTACCCATGAGGGGATCATTCATTTTCTGTTAGAAAACTTATTTAATGCATCTGCGTATAAATTGTTTCCTATTCTTTCTTTCTTTTTTTTTTCAAATTGTGATTTGGGTGAAAATTTACAGAGCAAATTCACTTTCCATACAGCAATTCACATACACTTTGTCTCATGACATTTACCACAATTTACCACAATGCAACAGCTC